TCGATTCCCAGCATCCCACATGGTTCCCTGAGCACCACCAGGAGTAATTCCTGAGTGCAAAAGCCAGGAGTAACCCCTGTGCATCGCCGAGTGTGAACCCAAAATGCAAAAATAAATAAATAAATAAAACACCCCTTCTTCACCATACAGAAGTGCTGCCTATAAGTTACAATGTTTCTAGAGCCTGTCCATGGTGACCTTCTTAGCCATCACAGAAGAATATAGTTTGACTCTTTCTGAAATTAGAAATAGTAATTACCTATACAGTTCATTCATCAATTGACATCCAAATTTAATGAATGTCCCTCTATTATAGGGATCTACTAGACGAGAACATTCCACTGTGAATGCCTTGAAATAATATGTTAGAATTGCTGTTCATTCAGTCCTGGAGGTCAAGGAGATTGCACACAGAACTTCAAAAAAATAAGTTCTGTGTCCTGGAAGACATTTAATTGAACAAATATAATCAATGTTTTGTGTTGACACTGTAAACTCTAGTATTTCACAGACACTTTTATATGATGGTACATGAGTTGAGAAACCCTAAGGGATAGGAAAAATAATAGCTGTGCTTCCAAATTGATTTGCCCTTTACAAGAGCACACCTATTAACATCCACCCCACAGCATTCTTCTGAGATACTCTGGAAGCTGCTGGGGTAATTCAATTGCTACTCAATTCTATCAGCTGGACAGCACTGAATAGTAACCATATTTCCTACTGGGGTAAGAAAGCCAAATGTGTTTTGTTTTCGAATACCATCAATTGAAAATCCCTCTATTACCATGCTAGGTTACAGAAAAAAGAAACAGAAACCATACACTAAATGTGATCACAATTAAGATCTATCTGGATTTCTGCAAGTGGGATATTATGGCGCAGGGGATCAGCTATACCTTCCTTCAAATTGAACTGCAGCAGACTCATCTAACATTCAGTTTAAAACCATCCTCTCAAGAGATTGAAGAAAAGCTGCATTCCAGAATGAGCTATGCCTCTCTCTGTTCCAGAGCCCGATGACCAAAGGGAAATGAAATACCATAATTTCTGATAACTGATGACCAATAGAGCAAAGATGCCACATGAGGTGATGAGAAAAAAAGAACAGGCTCTTGGCACTAAGAGGCTGCCCCCACCCTAAAAGATCTTCACAACAAAAAGTTGGGGTAACACTCAAAATCTAAACACTGAGTTATGGGAAAGCCTTTTAAAATAGAAACATTCCCTTCTCATTTAGGAGTCTAGTAGGAGACATCATTCAAATGAGTTAGTGAATTTTGAGGATTTGGGACCGGAAGTTATTTCTTCCACTCAAAGCACTGATTACCACCAGGAAGACACACGTGGGCCTGGCAGCTTATCTACTGAAACACTAAGTGCTCCACTTGAGTTTTCTGAATAGGTTTCTGATTGACTGATAGGTTTCCCCAGTGCTAATCATTTTGAAATGAAAACAAAGCACAAATGCGAAACTAAGATAAACCTCAGTGGTCAGATAGGATCCCAGGAGGCAGATCAAGACCAACACTAACTCAAGCACTGCCCTTCTCTGATACTTAGTCCATTTGGGTGCTACCTGAACTTTCTTCCTCCCTGAAGATGCTGTCCTAGGAAACCCCCAACTCAAGAGGGCTCCCTCACACAAAGAGTTCAACCTCAAGGCCACCACAAGTCTCTCAGGGCAGACCAGAGCCTAGAGGGAAAAGAGATTATAAATCTGACTTGTGCCCAAATAGTGCTGGATAATCAGCTAAATTCAGGGAGTCACATTTCAGCACTGCTGCCCCCAAAGCTGGCCCTCTCAGCTGCAGTCAAAGAGGCCCTCTCAATCAGTGCCAATGTCACCATTTTCCAGGAGAAGAGGGCCTGAACTGAATCTGACCACCTTGGCCACCTGCCACAGGGCACAGTACACCTACACCGTAGATCAGCGAAAGCAGCTCATACGGAGAAAATGCTACACTACAAATTTTATGGAACCTGCTCATAAGCGACTCAACCTGTTTTTCAATCATCAGGCTCAAGCTGCCGGAAGTTTGTGTCACCTCCTCTCTACAACAACTGGGATCTCTGAAAAAGAAAGGAAACAGAGTGGCTGTTGGAATTATCAACATCAGGGTCTCCTTTCTCATTTCACCCAAGAGTGACCTGGAAATCAGAGATCAACTATTTAACAGTATGAAAAGAAAGGGAAATCCTATCTTTAGGTAGCAGTAAATTTCTTTTGAAGAGTAATTAGAATTTAAACCAGTCAATTCTAACTAGCACTGGTTTTAGACATACAAAATGCTTTGACCACATTCTTACACTTAATAAATTAAAATAATGGCATTCCATGGAGCCAGGGCCGACCTGAGTTTAATTCCTGACGTCCCATATGATCCTCTCAGCCCTGCCAGGAGTGATTCCTGAGCACAGAGCCAGAAGTAAGCCCTGAGCACTGCCTGGTGTGGCTCCAAAATTAATAATAGCATTGTGGAATAAACCCCACCTCTCTTAATCTCTCACCTCCTAAACCAAAGAGTCCATAGGTGTAGTCTCTAACCAATCTGTAAATTTTTGCCATGCTCCCTCCTCCATTGCCAGAGAAGTGGCCCCACACAGGGTGACAGCTGGGTTGAACAACCCTTCAGGTAAGAAAAACAAAATTTCTGATGCTCAAAATTGAGAATCTCTGCCCTAGCATCTGGACGCAGCAGTAATAGACGTGAAGAGAGCAAGCAGAAGGATCAAGAACCTGATAAAACCCCATATTGGCTGAGGGAGAGACACTCCCTATACTAGCCTCTGATCACTCCAGACCTTTAATTAGAGACTCACTTCACCTAGGAGGGAAGGAGTCCTTACTTCAAGGTCACTGTTAGAGTCCTACCAGAGAGCAGTACAGGGTGGACCGACACCCTCCACCATGGTTCTCAAACTGAGCTGTAGCTGAAAAGCAAATTCTTGGGCCTAGGACTCTGAGCACCCATTCATCACACCCAGTGGTCTCCCAGTCTGCATCCTGCAGCTTTCTTTAGATAAATAAGAAGACTGGAGCCTTTACCCCATAAAAGAAAGGTCAGTTTAGGGAAAGAAAATAAAGAGTGACTTCCAAAGCTCTAAACTAAAACCTTTTGAAGAGTGGGTGGAGGGGAGAAGGCTCAGGTGTCTTGTTAAAAGATGCTCAGGGAACCATGTGCAACATCAGGGATCTAACCAGGGAGAGTCACCTTCAAGGCAGGCATCTCATCTCCTGTATTTTCTCTCTAGTTCAGTAATTAGCCACGTTTAATTTAAAAAAAAAAAAAAAGAAAGAACACAGTCACAATAAGAGATGAATGGGACTTTAGAGTTTCAAAACACTTTTCATTTCCAGGATCTCACCCAAGTCTGACAACAACCCGGCAAGGGGAGGAGAGAGGTTCCCCACTGCAAGAAGAGAAAACTAAGGCCCAAAGAGACCAGAAATCTATCTATGGACTCAGCCATCCCCTGGAAAGTTGAAATTTGATGGCAGATCTGTCTCACTCTAGAACCCGAGGACACCATGCGATTTCCACATCTGGGCATCTGGCCCGAGGGGAAAAAAAAAAAAACCAAGAGAAAAACATGCCGCAGAAACAGGCAACCCCAAAAGCCCTGGCATTTGAGCAGTGTGTGGGTGCCCCTTTAAGAGCTTAACACACAAACCCAACAGCCAAGGTGTTCAGCCAAAAATGAAGAAAAAAAAAGAAAGAAAGAAAAAGAGCGAGCGAGCGATAGAAGGAATATTCTGAGCCTGCATAATCACTTCTGGAATAATTCCCACTAGCAGGCTCCGAGGCGAACAGCGCGCACTGCCGGGCTGAAGTTCCTCCATCACCACCCCTCTCCCCACCCTCCCCAGGGTTATGACAGCGCAGCTCTGACTTGTGTGTAGGCAACCTCCAAAACTCAAAACAAGAAGTGAAAAAAAAGTGAGGCCAGAAGAAATTGGGCAGCATCCTGCACCTCCTTGCAACTTGCCCAACGCCGGTTCTAGGAAGAGCTGCGTCTGCCTCACGCCCCGCTAATATCCCTGGAGAGGGTGGGACAAGGCGACTTTCTGGGGGGTCCCGCCGCCCCTCCCAGCTGTTGGGGGAAGATTGACAGAAAGGTTGGAAAGCATCTTTCAGAAGTTCTGGGGCTGTGGCCAGGCCTGCCCCGACCCTGGCACCCTCCCCAAAGGCACAGGCTGTGCTCGCAAACTCGCCCCACGGTCCTTCCCTCCAAACCCCGTCCTCTGTCCAGATGATGGGGCGCTGTGGCCCCGAGTTAAGGCACGAGGAAACCCCAACCCTCGAACCCTGTCTCGCTGCCAGTGGCGCGCGCCAGGAGCGCTCCCTGCTCCCTGGAGCCCGCGCCCTTGGCCACGTCTGAGGTCGGGGAGGGGCGCTGCCCGCCCAGCGAGCCGGACGCAGGGAGCCGAGCCCCGCGGGAGCGCCCAGCCCCGTTCCGGCAGCGGTGGTTTTCCTAGAAGAGGCCAGAGAAGAAGAGAAAATCCAGGCGACCCCCGAATTTCGGCTGCGGGGTAGCGGGCGGAGCTCGGCCCAGGGGCGAAGCTCCCCGCTCAGCTCCTCCAAACGTGGGGCCTCAAGAGAGACCCCCTGGGGGGGGACCCTTCCTACAGAGGGGACCAGGGCGGGAAGAAGGGTGCCATTGGCAACTTTCTCGGAGGAAACTGCTCCGCTCCGCAGCTTTCCCTACCCCGCTGATGCTGGGGGTCCCGCGTTTGGAAAGAAATAAGGACCCTCGTCCCTCTCCACGCTCAGAAAAATAAACGCAGCTGCTCGGAGCGCTCAGCCCGTTCTCCCGCCAACTTGAAAAAGCATCTCCCGGCGCCTCCTCCGGCCCGGGAGCGCGGTCCTGGTCCTGGCTTCCCGCAGCCGGGGGATCAGGCGCGGGGCGCCCACATCGCCGCAGCCCTCGCACCCGCATCACCCTTCCCCGGCCTGGCCTCGGCTGCACCCTCGCGGCTCCCCACGCCCCAGCCCTACCTCGTCACGCAGTTCTGGCCCGGGCAGTGCCAGTGCGCGGCACGCGTCCCAGCCGGAGAGGCTCCTCCCCGGGGGCTGCCCCACGCCGGGCTCCGGACCTGGCTCAGTGGATCCCGGGTGCTGGCTCCCGCCGCCCCGCGGCGCGCGAAGACCGAGAGGTGTGGGGGGTAGTACCACTGGGGGGGTGGAGGGGGGGAACTCCCGGCAACTCCAACTCCAGGAGCCCGAGCTGCAGCTGCAGCCGCGCGCCCGCCAGCCGCGGTTTTGCGAGCGCCTGCGAAGCAAACCTGCCCCCGCGGCCGCCTCTGAGCATGCCCAGTGCCGCCAGGGGCGAGCCCGAGCGCCCTGACCTGGGGCACTGAGCTGCAGCTGGGGGCCGGGGAACCGCCCCAGGCGTGCGAGCGCGGGGGCCTCGGGCCTCCAGGGGCCAGGGCTGGGGTCCGAGGGCAGCCCCGCAGCCCAGGGCTCGGGAGCAACTCTGCGGAGGGCAGTGCAAATTTCACTGGAAGTTTGTGGGCTGGAAAGGTGAGCAGCTGTGGTGGAAGTCAGCAAGACTGTGTTGGGGAGGGTTAGGAAGCGGTACTTCTGGGGGAGAGAAGTGGCTTGGGCTCAGATGAGTTTCTACCTAACTGCATTCGTCCCTGCGTGGCTTGGATACTTCCGTGCGAACTCCAAGAGCTCGTGGGGCCTGGAGAACCGGGTTCACGGGATTGAAGGGCTGGGAAGAGGAAGACAGATCTCCGTGGGCAGATAGAGGCAACTCTGCCCTGAATGTCCCTCTTCTCCGGGCTCATTCAAGCCAGCTTCTGCTACGTGTGGCTTTACAAGAAATGACAGGTGTATGTTAGGGTGTTTGTTTTTCTCTTACACTTAGAAAAATTTATTTTTTAAATTTTTTTCAAATTGAAGCACGGTGAGATTCACAATTAGAAAGCTGTTCATGATTGCGTTTTAGTCGTACAATGTTCCAACACCCATCCCTTCACCAGTGTACATTTCCTGCCACCAATGTCCCCAGTTTCCCTCCTGCCACTAGCCCCCAGCCTGCCTTTATGGCAGGCACTTTTCTTCTCTCTCTGTCTCTCTCTGTCTCCCGACCCCCCTCCCCCAACTCCCCCCTCCCCACCCTTTGCATTTTAATCCCGATGACATCCTAAAGAAAAGTACTCTGAAACCAACAGCTCCTAATTGGGTTCCTTCCCTGCTCACCTCCACCATCAGCTCTTCCTGGGAGAGTGACCTCTGTCTTCTTTCGGCCAAGAGGTGGTAACCCCCACTGGGTTGGGAAGACACCCAGAAGGGCCAAGTTTGTCATCAATATCCAAACTGATTCCTAAAGGAAATGGACTTTCCGAAAAGAAGAACAGCCTAGGAGAATGCTGGGACATTCAAGTAAAGTGGGAGAACTACCTTGGAAATCAGTGATCAAATCAGCACACTACAGAGTTGCTAGGGGATCAGTAATCCTGCCCTCGTGAGGCATTTGGGAATCTGAAGGGAAATAAAAGGGGGAAAGGCATTGTGGCATTGTGTTTATTTTTAAATGTTGACATTTTATATCCTTTTAGCACTGTTTTTTAAATGTGGCATTAATATATTTGCTTGGTTACTGAACTTAGTCCTCATAAACTTTGTGACTTTCCTTTCCTCAGCCAGTGACCACTGAGTTGACTAGCTAAAGTATAAGGAGTAGGTCACAGCACAATGAAGTGGCAAGAGCACTGAAGCAATGAGTGGGGGTGAGCAACAGTGGGCAGAGCCAGACTGTGGAGGCTGCCCTGCATTATGTAGGTATGTGGAGCTAGCATTATATAGGGATGAAGAGGGAAGAGAGATAGGAGCTAAACTCATCTTCAGGAAAACACCCACAAATAGTCCCAGCCAGCTGATTAGGAGGGCAAAAAAATGGAAGAAATGTGAATACCTGAGACTGGTTCTCTATCGTGGTCTTGAAATGAAAAAGGGAGCAATTTCCATAATTTCTTTCTTTTCTTTTTTTTTTAATTAGTGAATCACTATAAGGTACAATTACAGACTTACAAACCTCAGTGATTGCATTTCAGTCATACAATGGTCGAGTATCCATCCTTCCACCAGTGCCCACTTTCCACCACCAATGGTCCCAGCATCCCTCCCACCGTCCCCACTCCCTACCTCCTCCCGATTTCCATAGTTTCATCATGTGGATCCCGTGTTCGGGCCTGACTTAGTGGAAAGGCTCTCAACCTGGTCTGAGCCTCAGTGATTTCCTCCCCTGTTTCCATTGGCAAGTGACTCCACCACACTGCACTGTCCTCATCTGTGAAGTGGAAAACTATCCCCACAGTTCTGTTGAGGATTCCAAGAATTAACACACGTCTCAGGGCTTTGAGTTTAAGCAAATAGGAGGCATTGTTCTCATCCCCACACAGGCTATATGAGATCTGCATTTAAACAAGGAAGCTCTTTATGAAAGTTGTATTAAGCAGCAAGCTGCTTTGATTTCTCGAGCTCCTCTAGTGTGTTCAGGATTCTCTGGACAAATCTCTGGAATCAGCTTTTGGATAATTCAACAACTTGGTGAATTACCATATTCTTGTGATAAATTTCTATTACAGGTCATTCTCCCTCCTAAAACTTTCCCTTAAAAGAAGACTTCCCTTTAAAGTTTTATTTTCTCCATATCTTTGAGTTAGCTCCAGGACTTCCCCATTCTGTTCAATCACCCTCAGTCTCAACTGCAGGTTGTCACTAGTCTCACCTCAGTGGAATACCTGGGATTTACCCAGTGCCCTTATGCTTGGTGAGCTCATCAGCTGCTGCATCAACAGACCACCACTTGTCTTTGGGAAGTATTTTAGGCATGCAAAGCTCTCAAAGATAAAAAAAAAATGCTTGGTTGTTTACACAAGAAGTCATCTAGAAGTTGTGAAAGGAGGAAGTACTTCTCTCAGGACCTGTCACAGAACAGGTAGTCATACACAGTTGCAGAATTAAGAGTAATTTCTATTATCAAAATCATGTGTGTGTGTGAGTGTGTGTGTGTGTGTGTGTGTGTGTGTTTGGGGCCACACCCAGAAATACTCAGGGATTTCTTCTGGCTCTGCACTTGGGAATTACTCCTGGATGTGCTCAGGAAACCATTTGAGATGTCAGGGATTGGACTCTGGTAGGCCATGTGCAAGTACCCTACCCACTGTACTATCACTCTGGTCCATTCATTATCAAAGCCTTCTAAATCATTCTTTCACCACCCACAGTTCCCAAGAATTATTGTTTTGTTTTGTTTTTTTAATTTTTTTATTAGTGAAACACCATGAGGTACAGTTATAGACTTACAAATTTTTGTGCTTGGGTTTCAGTTATACAATGATCAAGTACCCATCCCTGCACCAGCGCCCATCCTCCACCACCACAGGTTCCAGCATTCCTCCCACCCCCCATCTCCCCCATCCCACCCTGCCTCTGTGGCAGGGCATTCCCCCTTGTTCTCTCTCTCTTCTTTTGGGTCCTGTGTTTTGCAAGAGAGGCATTGAGTGGCAGTCATGTTTGTTCTATAATCTACTTTCAGCATGCTTCTCCCACCCTGGGAGGATCCTCACAACACCTTTTATTTGGTGCTCTCTTCTCTATCTGAGCTTCCTTTTCCCCTAGCACGTGTGGCTGGCCTCCAAGACATGGAGCAAAATTCATGGTACTAATCTCAGCCACTCCTGGGTGTTAGTCTCCCATTTTGTTGCTTTATGTTCCCCAGAAGAATGCAATCTTTCTGTGTCTATCCCGCTCTTTCTGACTTAACATGATACTTTCCATGTAGTACCACTTGTATGTAAATTTCATGACTTCATCTTTTCTAACAGCTACATAGTACTCCATTGTGTAAATGTACCAAAGTTTCTTTAACCAGTCATCTGTTCTCTCGGGCACTCAGGTTTTTTCCAGATTCTGGCTATTGTGAAGAGTGCTGCAATGAACAAACAATTGCAGATGTCACTTCAACTATACTTTTTTGCCTCTCTGGGATATATTCCCAGGAGTGCTATTGCTGGGTCAAATGGGAGATCAAATTCTAATTTTTTGAGAATCGTTCATACTGTTTTCTAAAAGGGTTGGACCAGTCGGCATTCTCACCAGCAGTGAAGGAGGGTCCCTTTCTCGCCACATCCGCGCCAGCACTGGTTGCTTTTGTTCTTATGGATGTGGGCCAGTCTCTGTGGTGTGAAATGATATCTCATTGTTGTTTTGATCTGCATCTCTCTGATGATTAGTGATGTAGAGTATTTTCTGATGTGCCTTTTTGCCATTCGGATTTCTTCTTTGTGAAAGTTTCTGTTCTTTTTACAAAAACTGAAGGGAATAAAAGGTTTCAAAGATACCAAGAAGATCAGGGCATACACATTCTTTTTTTTTTTTTCTTAAAGGGGGCTCTTTGTTTTAACAAATTAAATGCTATGTCTACTTACATTTCCAATTTATTAAGTTTGGTTTGGTTTCAAACTTATTGTTATTAGTTGTAAATAATGCAGGATATTAAAAAGAAGTTCATTGCAAAATACTTGTAACAGAGAAAGAGGAAGTTCCCCTCCCCAGGAACTACTGTTGTTGCCAATTTCTTGGATATAATTACAGAAATACCCTATGCACAAGAGAGCAAGCAAACCTGGTTCTCCCTCTCCCCTACACCCCCCCCCCCCCACTCCTTTAAAGTTGAGTCATGAAATTAGAGAACTGAAAAAATTTTACTGTTCATCTCAGGTTACAAACTTTTAGATTGTGCCTCTCTTCCTTAATAGAAAAGGAAAACATGAAAGCAATTTTCCCTTCTGCAAAAGTAAGCCCATGTTCAGAAGGACTCCAGACCACATGGCAAAACCCTCCTTCTGAGCATTAAATGATTCAAGAAAAAACTGAGTTCACCTAGGGTTGTCATAAAACCCACATCACCCACTATCAAGCTCAATCTTAAATGCTCTCAGATTTAGATGTTCTGGGTGGCATAGGACTATGAAAAGAAGTGCTATCAAAATAACAAATGAAATGACTTGATGTGGACTAAGAAAATTTGATCTAGAGAATTATGCATTATAGTACAATTTTTAACAGCATTACTTATATATAATTTAGTACTATTGATCAGTTTGCCTTCAAAACTGGTCAAGTTTGTATCATTTTAAGCTTTCTATTTACAGCGCAGCTCATA